GAATTGGTGCTAATTGATATATCTGTATGTATGTATGTATGTATGTGTATGTATGTGTATGTATGTATGTATGTATGTATGTGTATATATATATGTATGTATGTATGTATGTATGTATGTATGTATGTATGTATGTATGTATGTATGTGTATATATATATATACATATGTACATTTTTTATTCAAGAGCACCCCCAACATCCGCCAACCCTTCTGTGACGGGTTTCTGGTATGTCATATAGCTTGCTGAAAAGCTCTCGCCAATCCTCGTCTCAAGGGTACTATCTCCACTGGGCATCAATATGCGGAGGTGAAAGAACCTTATTAATTTTACGGTCAAATAGAAGATATTCCAAGGATAATAAATTTGAGGACCTTTGCCCAAACAAAAACGTTGGTGCTTTGGACACAACGGGGCCTTGTTTTCCTGATGGTATTGGGATCTCGCAACTGTATAGTCAGTAGAAGGGCTATATGCAATTTTTTTTCGCATATAATATATGGCAAAACATGGTTTGTTCAAAGGGGAACCCCGGTTGGGAGTAGTCCACCAAGAAAAGAACATGTACTTGTTACCGATCAAATAGAAGATAATGCCCTTTTTTTTTGAATTGGGGATGTACATTGAAAAAAACAATGGAATTTTACCGATCAGATAGAAGATAATCAACCAATTATATGATTTCGACACCAGGGGACTGGCTCTCCTTATGGTATTGGGACGTAGAAGGGTGTATACATATAACATTAACAAATATCTATGTGCCATTTTAACCACATATAAAATATGGCAAGACATGGTTTGTTCAAAGGGGAACCCCGGGTGGGAGAAGAAAAAAACATGTACTTTTTCCGATCGAATAGAAGATAATGTCAAAATATTTTGAACTGGGTATGTACACTGATAAAACCATGCAATTTTACCGATCAGATAGAAGATAATGTCAACATATTTTGAATTGGGGATGTGCACTGAAAAAACAATGTACCGATCAGATAGAAGATAATCACCAATTATATTATTTCAACACCAGGGGACCTGGCTCTTCTTATGGTACTGGGACCTCAACTGTATACTCAGTAGAAAAGTGTATACATATAACATTAACAAATATCTATGTGCCATTTTAACCACATATAAGATATGGCAAGACATGGTTTGTTCAAAGGGGAACCCCGTTGGAGTAATCCACCAGAAAAAACGTATACTTTTACCGATCAAATAGAAGATAATGTCAAAATATTTTGAATTGGGGATGTGCACTGAAAAAAAAAATGGAATTTTACCGATCAGATAGAAGATATTCAACCAACTCTATGATTTCGACACCAGGGGACCTGGTTCTTCTTATGGTACTGGGACCTCAACTGTATACTCACTAGAAGGGTGTGCACATAGAACATTAACAAATATCTAAATGCCATTTTAACCACATATAAGATATGGCAAAACATGGTTTGTTCAACGGGGGTCCTCGGTTGGGGCAGCCCACCAGGAAAAAAAACATGTACTTTTACCGATCAAATAGAAGATAATGTCATTTTTTTGAATTGGGGATGTACACTGAAAAAAAGAATGTAATTGTACCGATCAGATAGCAGATAATCAACCAACTATATGATTTCAACACCAGGGGACCTGGTTCTTCTTATTGTATTGGGACCTTAACTGTATACTCACTAAAAGGGTGTGCACATACATAGAACATTAACAAATATCTATATGCCATTTTTCACCAGATATAAGATATGGCAAGACATGGTTTGTTCAAAGGGGAACCCCGGTTGGAGCAGTCCACCAGGAAAAAAACATGTACTTTTTACCGATCAAATAGAAGATAATGTCAAAATATTTTGAATTGGGGATGTACATCGAAAAAAACAATGGAATTTTACCGATCAGATAGAAGATAATCAACCAACTATATGATTTCGACACCAGGGGACCTGGTGCTTCTTATGGTATTGGGACCTCAACTGTATACTCACTAGAAGGGTGTGCACATAGAACATTAACAAATATCTAAATGCCATTTTAACCACATATAAAATATGGCAAGACATGGTTTGTTCAAAGGGGAACCCCGGTTGGGAGTAGTCCACCAGGAAAAAAAACATGTACTTTTACCGATCGAATAGAAGATAATGTCAAAATATTTTGAACTGGGTATGTACACTGATAAAACCATGCAATTTTACCGATCAGATAGAAGATAATCAATCAAATGTATTAATTCGACACTATGGAACCTGGTTCTTCTTGTGGTATTGGGACCTCAACTGTATACTCACTAGAAGGGTGTGCACATAGAACATTAACAAATATCTATATGCCATTTTAACCAGATATAAGATATGGCAAGACATGGTTTGTTCAAAGGGGTTCCTCGGTTGGGGTAGTCCACCAGAAAAACAAAACATGTACTTTTTACCGATCAAATAGAAGATAATGCCAACATATTTTGAATTGGGGATGTGCACTGAAAAAACAATGTAATTTTACCGATCAGATAGAAGATAATCACCAACTATATTATTTCAACACCAGGGGACCTGGCTCTTCTTATGGTATTGGGACCTCAACTGTATACTCAGTAGAAAAGTGTATACATATAACATTAACAAATATCTATGTGCCATTTTAACCACATATAAGATATGGCAAGACATGGTTTGTTCAAAGGGGAACCCCGTTGGAGTAATCCACCAGGAAAAAAACATGTACTTTTACCGATCAAATAGAAGATAAGAGCTTTCTCCTGTAAGGATAAACCCTTATTGCATCAAACGTTGAAACTGGAATGTCCAGTTGTCGCATCGTCAGATTCATGTTGTCCTGAAGTCGGGCTCAGCTCTTTTTATTTTCTCCGTAGCCATTTTGGCTCAAGTCGGGCTCAGCTCTTTTTATTTTCGTCCACATCTCCGTTTTCTGCACCGCCATGGAAGAGGTTCATAGTGCTCCACAGGGATTTTTGGAGACGAATGTCATCTATGTCCCGAAGGAGGCCGCGCTGCCGGACATTGCAGTCCACGGGCTCTTCACCTTCGTGGAGGACCAGACGTTGGCCGAAGTCCGTGAGTCGGTCGAATGGCACACCTGTGCCCCTGGCCGTCTGGAGGCCGTGTGCCTGTGGGTCCGGGATGAGACACCTCCTGTGTCCAAGCGCAAAGCCTCTCCTGGCGATGTGGACGATGAGCCCGACCATGGGGATGACACAGCAGCTTCAGTGGCACCTGCCACCCCTGTCCCATCGACAGGTGCTGCCACCGTTGGCGACGAAACCCTTCGCAAGGTGGACCACAAGCTGCTCTACATGCTGTTGGAGCTCCAGGGGCAGTTCGAACAAATGCAGCACGAGGACGCAGCTGGCGCAGCCTTTGGCCTGCTCAAAGAGCGATTGGGCCAACTCACCACTGACGACGTCAGGGCGATCAAGCGCCAGAAGGTGCTGCGAGCTGAAGCTCCTATTCGGACCTCCTGGGATTGAGCGTCCCCTTGCCTCCACAGAATGGGGGTTGGCGAGGCAAGGTCTTTGATGACTGAACTTTGACTGGTTGCAATCGTTGCTCGAGCCTTGCACTTTGCCTTGACAGTGGTTTTTGGAAGGATTGACAGGGCTCGGCATGGACAGCTTTTGTGATCAGTTAGGTATGCCGTTTAGCAATCATTGCTCGAGCCTTGCACTTTTTCAAGACAGTGGTTTTGGACAGCCGGGGCAATGGGGTTTTGCAATATCTGACCCAACCCTGGCCGTATGGTGGATGTGCAATCTTGCAGGTGTTTGGAGGATCGTGGCACAGCCCTTTAGACTTCCTGCTCATGGATTGCGACCATAAGTGTCGTTGCTTCGATGGCAAAGCCCACGTCTCACCTGTGTTTTTGGCAAAATGTGAGTAGCTGACCCGGTTGACCATTGCAGAGTGTCTGCAAGTGCAGGATGTCTGCATTGATGGCATGGCATGTCACATGTCGATGTATTTCAACCTGGTTTGGCTTAAGTGATTTTCGGTGACGCGTTGACACCCTGGGGGCCATTGACTCAATCTCCCCTGCCAATTTGTTTTTGAAACTTACCCCATTTGCGAAATTGCATGGATGTGAACCTAGTTGTATGATGGAGCCCCCATGTTGATTGTCAACTGTCCCAGGCCCTGTCAAGTGATTGTGACGTCCATTCACGTGGAGGCATGGGCCTTGGAACAGGTGACTAGCGCCGAATTGTTGCGATGTGGCACATGTTTTGTCGGGATGTCCATGACATGTCACCCAGTTTGCCCGGATGTCGGTGCAGGTGGTGAGCATTACGGCGTGCCACCCTCAACTGAATCTTGTGCAGATTGTCATGCAACCACGCCTTGATTGATGTGCTCATGTATCACAATGTTCAAGGTTGGACGTGACCCGGTGGCGTCATGATCTCAGAATAGAGTGGGGATGTCCCTCCCTATTTTTCTTTTGCATGTCCTTGCTGAGATGTCCAGCACAAGAAAACATGCTCATCCGAATGTTGGCACAGGTGGTTGGAGCTCATTTTGCACCGGCCTCATTTGGTGTTTTGTATTTTCCACCCTGTCCATGTTTCTCACATTTGATGTCAGCACACCCGGCATCGCTTCAGGTGGGATCAGACCCGGTGGTGCCGTGTGCTCAGGGCAGATTGAGGGTGTCTCAATTGCTCTGCTGATTCAGTTATCTTTTGGGCTGATTGATAGTGTTGCTTCGTTCAGGCCTGGACTCGTTGTGAGGCAGGAGGTCCTGACCAGGCGAGAATGTAGGGATGTCCTACATGCATGCAATGTGCATTGAGGGCAGCCTGCCGGCTTCACTGGCAGGAGCTGAAGACGTGGTTGCTCGGCAGAGGCACTGTGCCGAGGACCGAGCGGTGACTCCCAGCTGCAGGCTGGAATGCTGAGCACCACAAGTGCACAGGGATGTCTGGATGCTTCAAGTTTCCTTGATTCATGAGATATCTTTTGATTGGGCATCTTTCAATCGGACAGGTTACCCCCATGGAAGCACATGCTTCGCTCCAAACGGGCCATCCTGAAGCAGTTCAACCCTTGTCTGAACGTGAGAGGGTGCTATTGCATGCAATGTTGGAAGAATGTCATCATAGTTGTGCGTCGGCTCCTGACATATCCATGCCCTGGGAATTGCCAGCATTGTCAATGGTTTTTGGAGAGCCGAATAGACCAATCATTCCTCCGATCAGACCCGTATTGGGGTATGTGGAGCCACCCAGTGGTGATGTTAGAACGGAAGGTGTTGTGATTGTGCAGCCGAAAGCCACTGCCTTCGAACATGCAATCAGCTTCAATTCCAAGAGGACTTGTCATCTCCCAGAATCAGAGCAGCTCCTTCTTCTGATTCAGAAATGGGAGGCAGTGGTCTCCATCGAACCTAGGGCGTTCGACCTTGGGGTCAATGTTGTGGACCTAACCTATGAAGAGCGGTTGTCGGTGGTCAGGGATGTCCTTGGAGGAAAAGCCATTGCAACCATCCGGCAACGACTTGGACAGTTGGGCCAGTACATCAAGTGGGCAACAGAAGAGGCTCGACGCCCTCCGTTTCCGGTGACGTCGGAGCTCGTCAAAAACTATGTGAGACATTTGAGAAACCATGATGCCACTTTCTCGAAGTACACAGGTTTCCTGGAGACACTCAAGTTTTCAAAATACGTTGTGGGTCTCGAATGTGATCTGGAGGCTTTCAAATCGGCCTGGGTGTCAGGCATCATGCGAGCAGCAGGACAGAACAGGCCATTACGCAGACAATCCACGGTGCTGACAGTGGATGCTCTCCTGTTCCTTGAAGCTTTGCTTGAGGACTCTCAGGTTGCCGGAGTCGACCGGTACGCAGTTGGAGTCGTGTTGTTTGCGACATACTCCCGGGCCAGATTTGGAGACCTCAAGAGCATCGCCTCCATCCTCATTGACGAGGTGCCTCCGAACAAGGAGGAGAGCATTGGCTTCCTGGAGATGCACTCAGCGTCCCACAAGATGCGGGCTACGGGCAACCGCCTAGGTTCCCATCTGCCCTTGGTGGCCCCTCTGAAGGGTTTGGGACCGACATCGTGGGGAAAGACCTTCATCAAGATTGGCAAGGAGGTCGGTCTGGACACGGGCAAGTGGGATCCTTATTGTCCACTATTGCCTGCACCTGACCAGATGGGAGCATGGACCGGCAGACCGACCACATCAGGCGAAATCAACAGATGGATAAAGCAGATCTTACTGCCCTGTGAGTTTGACGCATCTGGCTTCACCCCTCATGGCTGCAAGGCTACAACACTGGCCATGTTGTCGAAGTATGGCGTGGAGGCTGAAGTTAGACTTGCATTGGGCCATCACCAGATCCGCAAGGGGGCGGCTGAGGTGTATGCAAGGGACACCCAGTCTGCCCCCTTGAGGGTATTGGAGTCAATGTTCCGTGACATCAGACGGGGTCACTTCCAACCAGACCAATCTCGGTCGGGCATGTTTCGCAGGGAAGAACATGAAGTGAATCCTGCGCCAGCACAGGACCCTGGCCTGGTGACGGATGTGCCCTTGCCGGCACCTGAAGGGGAGTACTCTCCTGGATCACTCGCTGAGAGCTGGAACCTCGAGACACCTGGGATCCCAGCAGTTCTTGCAGCCATGGAGCCATCAGAGGCAGTGGATACAATCTCTTGCAACTCAGATGATAGCAGCTCTTCGAGCGACTCCGAGGCTGACAGCTGTGCAACAGAGACGCTGGAGGAACAGGCAAAGGACATGCCAGAAGCCCATGCGTCTGCCCAGAAAAGCATACCGAAGATGTATCAGCACAAGAAATCAAAGGTGGTGCACTACGCATCCTGGTCTGGCACGGCCTTCACATGTGGGCGACAGTTGACCCAGGAGTATCGGCAGTGCTCTGAAAGACTTGTGGTGGAGTCCATGAGATGTCAGAATTGCCAAAGGCGAGTCGACAGCCGAACTCGCGACCATGACCTTGAGAACATGGAAGCCGTGGTCAAGCGCTCGAGGCGTCAGTAGGAGAACTTTCTCCTGTAAGGATAAACCTTATTGCATCAAACATTGAGCGGAAAAAAAAAGTGCGCCAATACTTGTTGGTCTGGATCATGCGATGTGCATGCATGTCGATTGCAGAACATTCATGTCGTTTCTTGCAATCCGCCTGACCTGGCATGATGATATGTGCATCAATGCCACAGCCAAAAAAAAAACAAAAAAAAATGTTTTGATCCAGGTGCAATACTGATAGTGCATCATGACATGTCAATTTCAGTACAAGATTTTCTTCAACTATCTTAGCTCTTCGACATGGCAACAATCCTGGAATCTCCAGCGGCATTTGAAGCGAGAGCACTGGAGCATGGAATCACAACAGAACAGTTGGACAGACTCAAGGCGAAGGGCTTGACCAATCTGTCCAAATTAGCCTTCTCCATTTCGACACCAGGAACCAGTCCGGAAGATGAATCCCTGAAATCGTTGGTCCACGATGATCCAGATTTAGTCACAGTAGGGCAGCTGGCTTCAATCAGGAGGCTCATGTTTGATGCACAAACACTTTGTGCGGCACAGGTGAAACACATTCTGGCAGGGACAGAATCTACCAGAACATCAGAACTTGTCCCAGCAGAGCGAGCCCAGAGGATTGAAGCCCAGAGAGCCCGACTTGCAGGAATGGAGCTCACTGGGCCATTGGAATGCTCCCACCAATCATACTCCTACGTTGGAAAGATGGTAGAAGCAAACGTTCCACATTACCTGGAACCGCACCGGTTCACCACGAGAGCTTCTGAAGTTGCAAAGGAGAAGCCGGGCAAGGAGCTCATCCTGGATCAATCGAACCTGGTGGTCAAAGACGTGGAGCGAAAGGATCGATGCACCCTACAAGGGGACTTACAGGTGTTCCAAGCGCTCACTCGACGCTCATTGGCTTGCGATCTGATGGGGGTCTGCTCCTTCAAGAACATGGAGCGGTGGCACCGATTTCTCATGGATGCTACGCAGATTGCAGCGCCAGGGGGATACAAATCTCCGACCACCGAGCAGATCCTCCGTGCCGACAGAGCTGCATGGGTGAGGATGGCAGAGCTTGTGCCCAGTCTCAGACGGCAAGCGGATGGCACATTGCCGCTGGATGCAGCACTTGATGCACTGCGCACAGATCCCACCGTGGTCTTCCACATGATGCCTTTGCCAGCAGCCACCAGCAAGCCAGACAAGCCTGTGCCCCCGAAGCCACAGCCAGTCAAGAAGGATACGCCGAGCAACAAGGTGCCTGGTGGCGGCAAGGCCAAGGGAAAGGGCAGAGGCAAGACCAAGAGCAGCAAAGGACGCATGCCGGCTGAACTTGTTGGCCTTCACCAAAACATGAAGAATGGCAAGCGTCTGTGCTACAATTACAATCTTGACAAAGGATGCTCCTATGCGGAGGCAGGCAAAGAGTGCATGAAAGGGGCACACTTCTGCATGCGGTGCCTGGGCCAGCACCCTGCTCATGAGTGCCCAAACAAGCCGGTGGGTTGACTCCCCACTGGCGAGCAGCACATCGCGACCACAGACTGTGCTGCTCATCAACATCCCAGTGGTCAAGCAATGCAGCAAGAAATTTCTGCCAAGCTTCCTGTGGCGAATCGCGACAGACAGGCTGTAAGCACAGAACAGCATGACCAATCTGCAGGCCGAAGTGTCAAGCGGAAACAGACGTGTACAGATGATTTTTCTTCACAACTGGCCAGTCGCATCAAGGGCAAGCCCTTCTCTCAATTGCTGGTCATTGAAATTTTTTCCGGAACAGGTGGGTTCACTGCCGCTGTCCGCAAATTGGGCATGACACAATCTCTGGGTGTCGATGCACACGTCACGAAACAGGTGAAGGCACCCATCATCAGGATCAATCTGGCCGAAACAACAGGCCAATGCTTGCTTTGGAAGATACTTGACAATGACAATGTGGTAGCAATTCACATGGGACCTCCTTGTGGTACCTCCAGCAGGGCTCGCGAGATCAAGAAGGGTAAGCGGTATAATCCTCCGCCTCTTCGATCCAATGCCCATCCAGATGGGTTACCAACATTGTCAGGAGTTGCCCTTGACAGAGTTACCACAGCCAATTGCTTATATCTACTGTGCAGTGAAATCATGGCCTGGGCAACCCAACGGGGCATCATAGCCTCCATTGAGAACCCACTACGTAGCCATGCCTGGAACACATCACATATGCAGAAACATCTGGTGGGACTCCAACTTCATGAGGTCGTCTTCCACCACTGCATGTATGGAGCTACAAGGAGGAAGCGCACCAAACTCCTGTGCAATCACCGGTGCTTGTTGCCCTTGGCATTACAGTGTGACAACTCTCATGACCATGAAGGATGGGGCATCGCTCCGACAGGGCAATGGGCTACAGCTTCTGAGGTCGAGTACCCGCACCAACTTTGTCAAGCCTGGGCGCAATGCCTCAAGAGGTGCTTCCTGGAATATGGTGCTGTTGAACCAGCACTAGAGCTTGGCACAGATACAGATATTCCTTTGGTGCAAGCCAGCCGTGCAGCAACTGGCATCCAACCAAGGGGCAAGAAACTTAGACCCCTGATGCGGGAATATGCCAACCTCATCACAGTGCGGGGTCCTCAACAAGCCTTGTTGCAGTTACCCATCAAATGCAGTACAGATTTACATCTGCCCAAGCAGTGCTCCTTCACACCTTCAGTGCCCTTGATACCTGCACAAGCCAAACGGATCAGGCCTCCATACCAAATTGGGGACAAGGCGGAGTCCGATCAATGGGAAACAATCTATGGGGTCGCCTGGACGCATGAAGCCTTCATCAAAAGAGCAGCAGGCCGATCCCATCCTGGTCACTTTCTTGATGGAGTTCACCCGGTCCTCAAAAACATGTTTGAAGACGAAGCCCTGAGATCCACTGCTGACAGAGCCATCAAGCGATCAGAGCAGATGAGGAGGTGGATCAGCAGGGCCCAAGAATTAGATGCAATGGGGGTGGATGGCAAAGAAGACTCGCCAGCCCATGCTCGTGACAATCTTGCAAAGAAAAACCTACGGCTCTTCCATGAGATGATAGTTGCCTCGGGATCTCCAGATGTTGGACTTGCTTCGAACATTGCCTGTGGCTTTGATCTCATGGGCGACATCCCTGTGGGGTCCATTTATCCTGGAAAGGCCACCCATGCCACTCTGCTCCCTCAACAGGTGCGAGAGATGTCCAGCACTGCTCGTGCGGCCATTTGGGAGGCCACAAAGAGGGCTCCAGAGCCTATGGTTGCCGAGGAGGTGTACAAAATCACCATGGAGGAGCGTGACAGGGGTTGGTTACGTGGCCCCCTTTCAATGGACCAACTTCCACAAGATGCGGTGTTGTCAAGGAGGTTCGGTGTCAAGCAAACCTCAACCCTGGCCGATGGTAGCAGGATCACCAAGGTCCGACCGATTGATGATTTCTCTGAAAGTCTTGTGAACTCCACCAACTCCTGCAAGGAGGCGATACAGCCCATGGGTGTGGATGCCATACTTGCGGCCCTGGCGTTTCGAGATCAAGCCTGGGGCAGAGAGGAGTTGCGGGCCAAGACAATTGACTTGAGGAAGGCCTACAAAAACCTGCCACTTTCGGAGGAGGCAACAAGAGATGCATACTTGTGTGTTCTGTGTCCGACGGATGGGCAACCGAGAGCCTTCCAGACCCTTGTGTTGCCCTTTGGCGCCAGGGCGGCGGTCATGGGTTTCTGCCGGACCTCCTACGCCATCTGGAGGATTGGGGTGTCGATCTTCGCCCTGCACTGGACGGTCTTCTTCGATGACTATTACTTGGTTGCATCTTCACCTGAAATCAGGCATGTTGACATGGCACAGCAATTGCTGTTCAGACTCCTGGGCTGGGAGACCTCCTCGGAGAAAGAGGGTGACTTCCTGGCGATCTCTAAGATTTTGGGGGTACAGATTGACCTCAACGAGTCAAGGCTGGGTCGCTTTGCAGTCAGCAATGTTGAAGCAAGGGTCAAGGAGTTGGTGGCCAGCATCGATGCAATTTTGTCCAGGGGGACCTTGGCAGCAACTGAGATGAGGGCCCTGAGGGGCCGGCTGGTGTTTGCAGAGGCTCAGATATATGGGCGCCTAACAGGTCTCCACATGCAGCACCTTGGGCGTTGGGAACATGCCATGGGTGAGACAGCAGTCGATGTGGAACTAAGGGCCAGCTTGGAGTTCATTAGAGATCGGGTCATCTGCGGAGAGCCTAGGATGGTTGATGCCAGCCACGGCCGTGTCTTCCATCTGTACACTGATGCCTGCTACGAAGATCAATGTGGTGGTGTTGGTGGTGTCTTGATTGATGGGAGTGGAACCATGCTCTCGTACTTCTCGGCACAGATATCTCGGGATCAAGCCGCGAGGTTGAATCCCCTCAACAAGGACACAATCATCTTTGAGCTTGAAGCCCTGGCGGCCTGGCTGGGAGGACACATCCTACTTCCATCTGCAGCCATCCAGCCAAATGATAGAGTGGTAGTCTTCCTTGACAATGATGGTGTGCTTGGTCGTATAATCTCTGGCAAGAGTGGGCTTGGATTGGATGGTGCAATCATCAATGGAGTTCTTGAATGGGAATATTCGCTCAAAGCACTTGTCTGGTACGAACGAGTTCCTTCAGCTGCCAACATTGCAGATCCACCTTCTCGGGGTGAACTTGCTGGCTTCCGTAAAGAACTGAGGGTAGAACTGGACATTGACTGTGCCCTGAACGAACTCCTGGACTCGAGCCGTGATGCTTGAAATGTATACAATCCAATAGCAGCAAGCCCTTGTGACAATGTGTCATCAACAGTTGGCGATGTGTCGACTAATGAAATAGGGGAGGGCAGTCGACGACAACCCCGCTGTGTGTCAAAAAGAGCTGAGTTGTCAATCTGAAGATGTGCGAGTGTGATGCAATAAGAGCTTTCTCCTGTAAGGATAAACCCTTATTGCATCAAACGTTGAAACTGGAATGTCCAGTTGTCGCATCGTCAGATTCATGTTGTCCTGAAGTCGGGCTCAGCTCTTTTGATTTTCGTCCCACCCACCCTATACCCCTCAATTTTGTTCACTCCTGTCTCATTCTCGGCATACATGTCCCATGTGATCTTGGCAACATCAGGAAAGGTTAGCTCTATTTCGAAAGTTGACGAAGCACTCCTTTTTGTATTGTTTCTTGGTCGAAAAGGAGTGCGCATGTATCATGTGGCCAACACTGTGGTTGGCTTTGCAGTTGACCGTATCTAATGATATATGTCATACAATTTTATCCTTCAGACCACGTGTGTCCGACTCAATTTTCCCTGTGTGCCTGATCTCATGCCGCCGTCGCTGCAGCTGCTGTTGCGACCTGTGCTGCTCATCGAGGGCTGCGAAGCTCGCCTGCAGGCCAACCTCGACTGCCTGCAGACCATGGCCAATGAGCTTCCCACGAACTTCGATCAGCCTCGCCTTCATCTGAACCAGGCCATCCGATCTGTCAATTTGTGCCTTGATGAGCTCCGATTAGCCAAGCTAGTCGCCTTCATCCATTTTCTTCAACGTTTAAAAGTCTTCATCACCAAATACCGCAAAATGCCTGCGGTCGAAGACTCAGAAAGCTCGGAGCCATGATGGCCCCCTGATACAGAGAAGATTAGCATGGCCTTGACAGTTCCAAGTCATGACGGCCTCACGATACAGAGAAGATTAGCATGGTCCAGGCACACCTTTTGTGACATCTCCAATTCTTGTCAAATTTTGGTGCCAATTGAGCCTACCCTGCCGTACGGGCAGTCGACGACAACCCCGCTGTGTGTCAAAAAGAGCTGAGTTGTCAATCTGAAGAAGTGCGAGTGTGATGCAATAATGTCAAAATATTTTGGATTGGGGATGAACGCCGAAAAAAACAATGGAATTTTACCGATCAGATAGAAGATAATCAACCAACTATATGATTTCAACACCAGGGGGCCTGGTTCTTCTTATGGTATTAGGACCTCAACTGTATACTCACTAGAAGGGTGTGCACATAGAACATTAACAAATATCTATATGCCATTTTAACCACATATAAAATATGGCAAGACATGGTTTGTTCAAAGGGGAACCCCGGTTGGGAGTAGTCCGCCAAGAAAAAACATGTACTTTTTACCGATCAAATAGAAGCTAATGTCTTTTTTTTTACAATTGGGGATGTACACTGAAAAAACAATGGAATTTTACCGATCAGAGGATAATCAACCAAATATATGATTTCAACACCAGGGGACCTGGTTCTTCTTATGGTATTAGGACCTCAACTGTATACTCACTAGAAGGGTGTGCACGTAGAACATTAACACATATCTATATGCCATTTTAACCACATATAAAATATGGCAAGACATGGTTTGTTCAAAGGGGGTCCTCGGTTGGAGCAGCCCACCAGGAAAAAAACATGCACTTTTACCGATCAAATAGAAGCTAATGTCAATATATTTTGAATTGGGGATGTACACTGAAAAAAACAATGTAATTTTACCGATCACACAGAAGATAATCAACCAAAAATATGATTTCAACACCAGGGGACCTGGTTCTCTTTATGGTTTTGGGACCTTAACTGTATACTCACTAAAAGGGTGTGCACATAGAACATTAACAAATATCTATATGCCATTTTAACCACATATAAGATATGGCAAGACATGGTTTGTTCAAAGGGGAACCCCGGTTGGAGCAGTCCACCAGGAAAAAAACATGTACTTTTTACCGATCAAATAGAAGATAATGTCAAAATATTTTGAATTGGGGATGTACACTGAAAAAACAATGTAATTTTACCGATCAGATAGAAGATAATCAACCAACTATATGATTTCAACACCAGGGGACCTGGTTCTTCTTATTGTATTGGGACCTTAACTGTATACTCACTAAAAGGGTGTGCACATAGAACATTAACAAATATCTATATGCCATTTTAACCACATATAAAATATGGCAAGACATGGTTTGTTCAAAGGGGAACCCCGGTTGGGAGTAGTCCACCAAGAAAAAACATGTACTTTTACCGATCAAAAAGAAGCTAATGTCAATATATTTTGAATTGGGGATGCACACTGAAAAAACAATGTAATTTTACCGATCAGATAGAAGATAATCAATCAAATGGATTAATTCGACACTATGGAACCTGGTTCTTGTTGTGGTATTGGGACCTCAACTGTATACTCACTAAAAGGGTGTGCACATAGAACATTAACAAATACCTATATGCCATTTTAAGCATATATATATAATATGGCAAGGCATGGTTTGTTCAAAGGGGGTCCTCGGCTGGAGCAGCCCACCAGGGAAAAACACATGTGCATTTACCGATCAAATAGAAGATAATGTCAAAAAAAATGAATTGGGGATGTACACTGAAAAAAACAATGAAATTTTACCGATCAGATAGACGATAATCAACCAAATATATTATTTCGACATTATAAGGCACATATGAACTAGTAGCAGCGCCAGCCCTTTTTAATCCTTAAGGTTTACCTGCATGCATCAGGCCTGTGGGAATAATGTTAACACGGCATTGCCCAAACGCAGATTCAGGGATTGGGGAAGAAATTCTTTGCAGCTTCAAGGGTTTACTGATCATATAGAAGATATTCTTGGTTTTTTTTGGGTATAAACATTTTGGTAAAATTAATTCTGGGAATATCTTCTATTTGATTGGACGATTGAACCATGAATGAGTCATGATGGAACACCATTATCTTCTATATGATCTGTTTTTTTCTTGGGATAACTTTTACATCGGCCCCAAAAAACACAAAAAATCTGAGGTTTTTTTTTTCGTTTTTTTTTCCAAGATGGTTCCAACAAGCATCGTTGCAAAAGTTCCCCCACAAATCCGGCCAATGTGGAACTACTTTGGCAACATACCGGCATTTGGGCACACATGCACTTCCCCGGAAGTAACCCAGAAAGTTTGGTCAAAATGGCAAGAAACACCGTA